CCCCCGGGTAGACTATCCATCAGCCCCGTTTGGTTTTTCACACAGATTAAGAAAATGGTACTGTAGCGACACTGTTTGGCACTGTAGCGGCACTGTTTTGCACTGTTTTGCACTGTTTGGTATAGATTTGTTTACCAAATAAGGAAGTTTTAGAAATACGGGACAATTATTTCAGGACGGACCGAAAAGGAAAGCGGGACAATAATTTTGGGACGGAAGGAGTATATAGAAGTTTGACACATTTTTAAAATCATACTACATCCGTTCCACTAACATTGAGACGGAAGAAGGTGACACGGTTATTAAGAAAAGTGAGTTTATGTGGTTGATATTGAATTGATAAAGTAAGAATAAAGTAGGGATGATTAAGAGCCACACAAACTTTACCAAATATGGTATGAGACAATCTTAGTGGGATTTCCCGAAAAAGTAAAATAGGACAATCTTAGCGGGATGGAAGGAGTATAAGACTAATGCGCTGAATTTATATTTCACGAGAGGGTTTGATGCATCAAACCCCGTCAAACCAAATCAGATTACACCTGCTCCCTTAAACAAGCTCGACCAGATCAGACCAAATTACACCAGATGTAGATAATAGTAACATACACATAAAACAAACACATATCGAATCGAGTCAAATTAAACCAGACGAGAGCTTAACATGTTAGACCAAATACAAAAATCTCAGTCCAAACAAAAAATATCATAAGAACTCGCTTTTAAGATTCTAGCCTATATTAAAAAATAAGTTAGTCACACATGTAACCCCAAATTAATATACTCATTAATATTTAATTGATACCAACACTTGTGTTATTAGAAACTTCTCTAAAGATATTCAAAAGTTATATAACTGAACTATATGGGTATGACTGCCTTCTCGATCGAATGTTTAGCTGAAATTTCGTGTGAGTAAACTAGACTTAATGAAGAACATGTTCAAAAAAAATCATCAAATAATTCCACCGAAAACTACCCAAATGACAATGGCCGGACAGAGCCTCCTATAAAGGGGCTTATTTGGACTTTTTTATGAAATTTTGAGGGCTTATTTGATAGTTCTCCCTTAATTAAAATATACAACAACAACATCCAAGCCTTAGTCCCAAAAGATATTGGGGTCGGGTAACATGAATCGATACATGATATCACAACCAAAAGGAAAAGAAGGAATAAAGATAAAAAGATAAGCTATTATGAAAAGATAATATAAAAAAGATGAATATATATATATATAAATGATAAAATAAAAAGGCTGCAAATAATGCGTATATATATATATATATATATATATATATATATATATATATATATATATATATATATATATATATATATATATATATAAGGATAAAAAAAACTAGGAAAAAAAAGATGAGGGAAAAAGATTATCAAGATCACTCCTTCACGTGAATACCCGCCCTCCACTTAGTTCTCTCCAAAATCATGCCCTCATCCAACCCCAGAAGAAGCATATCACTTCGAACTCCCCTAATTAAAATATAAAGTTTATAATTTCTACAATGTTATACTAATCAAAATCTTGATTTAAGTTTTATGGGATGACAATTTTTTGGAAGAAAGATAGTACTCCCTTTCGTCCCATTGGACTTTGACAACCTTCATCTTTTGGATGCCTCCAAAAACTTTTACACTTTCCTATTAAAACAACTAATTTGTGATTCTGTACATTTTTCTCTCCTCTACACAAATCTTAACCACACCATTTGTAATATTCTTATTTCTCATCTGATTTGCGCTGGACTAAGTCCACCAAAAAAGTAGTAATTTTAAATCTCAAGGTGAAAGAAAAACTGGACTCCTTATCAGCCGAAGCACCGGCCCTTTTATAAATATCTTCTGTATCCCTCACGATCTCTCACCTGCTTACTGACTTCTCTCTCTACCCTTTCTGGGCTAAACTCCAGATCTGTGAGCTCACTCTATCTAGATTATCGATACTGATGACGAATCTTTTTCATACATTGCGGCGCTCTCTAATTCGCTTGGTGCAGTTCGGGAACTGCCTTGCCAGACGGTGGCTGAGCACAACTACGCCGTCTCCGGCGAATCCAGCTCCCGTTATGCATCAACTGAATCCGGGGCCGTCGCGATCTGAAATCTCTCTCATTTCTCTAATCAATGCCTGTTTTTGAACGGGCGAGTCAACTCCGATTGATTTGCACCGATCTTAGATCTCCAACGATTGCTTGCTCCTCTTCGGTTTGATTCTTCTTCTTTATACCCTGTGTGTTGATTTGATAATTTTATTATTTATGGCGTTTTTATACTGATCTTCCGCCTATCCAGATCTTATATTTGTGCACTGTTATTGTTCCACCGGAGGTAAGCATGGAATATAATTAGAAATTATTACATATTTAAAATAAATATTGTTTATAAAAATATGACCAGGGACCGTAGTTGTAATTTAATTTTATTAACTTAAGTTTAATTTTTAAACTTAAGTACTCGTGATACTATTCCGTAATAATTATTAGTTATATTTTTGGAAATAAGTTTTATTCATATAATTAAATGAATATGTATGTTTTTCGGAATGCTTAGTTGATATAGTACGGAAAATAGGTCAAGTATTCGATTTAATCATCTTTGTTGTTTTGATCTTATAGTGGCGAGGTGTTTCATATCATATTAGAAAAATCTTTTCGAGTTCTATAACTCGTATTCGACCTTATGCACCAAACTTTGAATCCAAAACTCTATTCATGCCAAATATGTTCTATTTATCTCTTTATGTTCTTCCGTTTCCAGCGTTAGAAAGATTGTTTGGAGTTTTGAAACTGGTGTTCAGACTTCATTTGCTATGTATCAAAAACAGGTACAGTTTAACCAAGCATCTATATCTATATATGCCCTCCCTCCCCCAATTAAGTTATTCACACATATTAAAGAAATAAATTTACCAGGGTAAATTTTACTGTTTTGATACTGTTTTGCACTGTTTGGACACTGTTTTGGACTGTTTGAACACTGTTTTGCACCGTTTGGACATTGTTTTGCACTGTTTGAACACTGTTTTGCACTGTTTGACATTGTTTTGATGTAGATAATTTGCCAAATAGGGAAAGTAAGGAAGTGTGAACTTAATTTAGGGACTCCTCAAAAAGGAAAGTGGTAACTTAATTGCGGGAGGAGATATTATACAATTGGAGGTCATATTGACACGTGTCACTCCGTTATTCACTAATGCAATGTGTCCATTTATTATTCATTTATTATTACTCTTTACTCTTCATACACATTTGGAAACTTAATTAAACTTACGTACATGTTTGTTATTCAAGGGAATGAATACTCTTCATATACATAATACATTTGGAAACTTAAACATTAGTTATTGAGACGTGGTGGCTAATAATTTTGGGCGGGTCTGCCCCGCAAATGAAGCGGGTCTACCCCGCTCTGTCCATCGAATGAGGCGGGTCCGAGTATTAGTATTGACTCGTGTTGCTCTGACCTGTCCCGTCTCGCCCCGCTCAATATGTAAGTATACATTTTTTTTACTACAAATATACATATATACATACATACTTCCTCCGTCCCTTAAAACTTTGTCATCTTTCCCTTTTGGGACGTCCCAAAAAACTTTGTCACTTTTCCTTTTAATCAATTATTTTGTGGTTTCTGTTATTTTTCTCTCCTCTACACAGTTTTTACTTTATTATTCTACGTGCCGGTCAACTTTGGCAATGTTTTAAGGAACGGAGGTAGTATGCCATTTTCTTTTTTGTATATTAATTAATTAATAATTAATAATAGATTACATGATTAAGTCTTGGTATTTTTTCTTAAAATTTTACTACCTCCGTCCCGCTATGATTGTCTCATTTTACCTTATCGGTCCGTCCCAATAAGATTGTCTCATACCAAATTTGGTAAAGTTTGTGTGGCTCTAAATCATTCTTACTTTATTTTTACTTTACCAATTCAATATCAATCACATAAATCACTTGTTATTAATTTGCGTGCCACTTCCCTTTGTCCCATTGTTAGCGGGACGGAGGGAGTAACATTTTTTGGTGCATAGCAACTATGATTTGTTGTATTACTTTTTTTATAATTATTTAGAGATAAATTTTATGTAAATTCAAATTGTAATGACTTCACGCAAATAGAAATACATAATTCGTACTCCCTCGTCCCGTAAAGGTTGACCAAAGTTGACTTTCACGTGGATTAATAAAGTAAAAACTGTATAATTGAAATTTGTGCGGAAAGTGAATTAATTTTAGCAACATATTCCTTATTTTAAATTGAAATGACAAATCTTTTTAGGACAACCAAAAGAGGAAATTTGGCTAACCTTTTCGGGACGGAAGGAGTACTAGCCAGTTAGGTTACGGCGGGGCGGGGCGGACCTGCCCCGCATGGGGCAGGTCATGGGCCAACAAGTATTGACCTGTGCGGGTCACGGGGTGAGGCGGATCCATCTAGAAAAACGGGTCTGAGTCCTGCACTACCTGCCCCGCCCCGACGCATTGCCATGCCTACTGCCTAGAATTGTCTGACTTGCTGGGCTGAAATAATAGTGCAAAGTGGGACGGCACAAAAATTAAACACGGTCCGAAAGATTGAGAAAATTGAAAATTGGCCGTTAAAGTTTGTCCCATACTCCCATACTAGGGTTGGATTCGGTTCGGGCCACCCGGCCCGGTACTGTGCGGGCCCGGGACCGGCCCGGTCGGGCGGTCCGGGACCGGGTATGCACCCGAACCGGTGGGAATGGGCGGGGCGGGCTCGGTGCTGGATTAATGTGACCTGGCCCGACCGGGTCGGGCCCGGGCCCGGGTCCGGTCTTATTTAAAATTTTTTTGTTTTGTTTGGGTTCTTGGGCTACTAGCCGTTGGGGGTGGGGCTGGGGACAACCCTAACGGCTATATAGCCGTTGGGTGGGGTAAAGGGGGGGTTCGGGGGGGTTGGCTGGTGGGGGGGTGGGGTGGTGGTGGTGGTGGGGGGTGGGGGGTAAAAAAACCTATAAATACTCCTAATCTTAAACATTTTTTCATATCTCTTCTCCAATTCTTCCTAAATCCTATTCTTAACTCTCTACTCTCTAATTCTCTTATTCTCCAATATATTATACTATCGTATTTATTATTTATATATCTACTTTATAGTTTATACTTAAGAAGTTAAGATGGAAAATCAAGATGTCATTATACGGTATAATTTTGATAAGCAGAAGGACCCGAAGATCGGGATGTGGTACGCAATTTGCAAATGGTGCGAGAAAAAATGTAGCATGGGGGTTTCTGGCGGATTCGGGATGACAATCAAGCATATGAAGTCATGTGACAAAGCCAAAGGATCGGGAGGTGCGGGAAGTTCCGATTGATTACAATTTTCAAAATGTTTATCTCTTAATGTTTGTTTTAATTTTCAAATGTAGTTCCTATTTCATTTCAAATAAATGCAATTGAAGTTTGTTTTTAATACTCGTATAAAACTATAAACTATAAAATATAAATTATATAAAAAAAAATTTAACCGGCCCGAACCGGACCCGACCCGTGACCCGGGCGGGTGGCCCGGCCCGGACCGGATCCGTCCAACCCTCGGCCCGGTCCCGGGCCCATGTCATACTACCCGGCGGCCCGACCCGGCCCGAGTCCATCAATATCCCATAGGCAGGATAGTAGTGGCATCTACTTGATAGTAAATGATCCGAAACACTCGAATACTTGTACACTTTGTCCCAAGTTTTTGTTCCATCAATATTGAGATATTAGAAGGTGATGTAATTATTAAGAAAAGTAAGAGTACCTGATTGCCACTGAATTATTAAAGTTATAAAAATATAAAAATGATTTAGAATCCCACAAACCTTATCAAATTTTGTATGAGAAAATCTAAGTGAGACGGAATGACAGGAAAAATGAGGCAATCTTATGAGAAGGAATGTAGTACTACGTACTTTAATTAAAAAGTTATTTACACATTATAGGCTTATATGTACGGTTACCAAATATTTAGCAGAACAAATGTCACTGAAGTTTTATACGTAGTACTACATGTGTTATATGATGAATTTATTGTAATAATATTTTGACAGTTTTATACTTCCTCCGTTCTTTATTAATTGTCTCGTATTCTTTTTTGGGACGTTTTTAATTATTTGTCCTTTCCTTTTTTGACAAGTTTTTTCAATCGAAATACCTTTTTACCCCCACTTTTATTACCCTTACCCCTTTGTCTTTCCTACGTTATCATTTAAACACAAACAACTACACATTTTACATTACCCCTATTATTTTCCGTTTAAAACTCGTGTCAAATCCTAAAGGAACACTTAATAAAGAGGAAAATTCTACGGTACATGTTACTACCTCCGTCTCATAATTTACTTCCAAAATAAAGTGGTACGCAGATTAAGAAAGTGGGAATTATGTGGTGGAGAGTTGTGCAGATGAGAGAGAAATGTTGTGAATCACAAATTGTTTGCCAAAAAAGGAAAGGGAAATTCTTTTAGGAACGGACGAAAAGGAAAAGTTGGAAGTATTTTCAGGGACGGAGGGAGTATAATTTAGCACGTACCGTACCTTTGCCTTGTTGGACTAATCAAAACCATACATAAGGATTCTTTAAACACGTATACGAAACCCACTTATTTGCATTTCAATCCCGTGAAGCTCTTGTTTTTTACGGAAGTAGGATGAAATTAAACGGAGAAGCATCCGCTAAACCTCTCTGAACGCAGAACGAAACAAAGAGGCGCTGGGGTGCTATATTCTTGAAGATGAACGCAAGGAGAAAGGGGCAAAGGTGTTTTCTCTTCTAATTTTCTGGCGGCGCTCAAGTTAGTAAGTTTACTGGCGGCCAGACTACATGTTTCCTTTGCTCGGCGGCGGCCGCCGCACTCCCTGGGTTCAGCCGATGATGGAGGCAATTTTTCCTTGCTAGTGATGCTCAACTTTTAATTTGCAATGCTCCTCAATTCTGCTTAGGGCAAATGTTGTGGTATGTTAACTCTTTAGATTAGATTAGATTTGATGCTCATGTACCTTCAATTATCACTTTAGAACAAACTGCTTCAATTCCAGTCCATTCAAGTATAAATTTGGATGCGTACTTATTTTTGCAATTGTAGAGACATGTTTGATTGTCATCACGCATCAGGCTTATTTGGTTGGGAAAATGATAATATATTATGACTCCATATTGGCAACATACACCAATGATAAAAAGATGCTTTGTTGAACATATTTAAAACAATAGTGCGCAAAAGAAATCCATTTACTTTCTTGTTGAAGGCAACTGGAATATGAAAATTATGCAACCAGGTTTCAATACTGTAGCCTTCTTTTAATTAAAGTTTCTATTAAGTCTAGGAATAACATATTGCTCTGTGTATTTCTTTTTAACGGGTCATTTGCCATTTCAGAACATGTACCACTACAAATAAATATTCTAACAAGCAAATTATTGAACAGCGCGCACGGGGTGTATATGGTTGGTTTACCCCCAAAAGCAAAAAAAAACCAGTACTTATTGACTTTTTCATACAGTACACAGGTTAATGTAGTAAACTTGTTGAGTTTGCTGCAAGTTTGCTCAGTTGGAAGATAAGAGCATGGTATAAACTATGCTGATAAATATTCTTATCTAGTTGAGAAACATTACAAAGTATTAATTATTCGAGAAAACAAAGTTGTTGATATTATATTGCTCATCAATTTCATATCATGCATGACTACATTAGGATGCTTTTTTCAAGTGTTGTAAGAGCTTACCTTGGCCTTGGGTGTCACTAGTCATTAGAGAAAACTATAAACTAGTCACTAGTCAGTATCGTAAATGCTTCTCACGTAGGCAACAAACTCATGAAGACAAAGCAACGTCCGGAGAAACGACACTGTTGGAACCGCAGGCAACAAACTCACGAAAAAGAAGCAACGTCTGGAGAAACGACACTGCTGTGTTGCAAACGAACACAGAAGCAAAGGTATTTTTCTTGTGTTTTCAAAAATGGAATTACCTTAGTTGGTGAAGCACCATGCATATATTTACTCCTTCAAGAGCCTCAAGGCGAAGTGCTCTAAGTAATAACTGTGAAGAAGCACTGTCCCAACCAGATCGAGGTGGGTTCATCTAAGATCAGTAATGAAGGTTCCATTACCATTTCCAGCCCAACGTTTACTCGCTTCCTTTGGCCGCTAGAAATGCCTCTTTTTTCCACTGTACCAACAAGGGAATCTCTCACATTTTGCGATCCCAGAGATTCAATTACTCTTTCCACAACCAAAACCTTTTCTCCTTTTGGAAGTTTCGCTGGCAACCTAGTAAAGTAATAAACTTATGAGTTAACAAAGCTACAATCTTTATACTTGAAATCAAAACCGTTAAATCCGGCTTGATGAGCAGAAGAGTCAATACTCGATGTGGTTTTGTTAGTAAATAATACATTAACTTAATACAACCTATATGTAGGTTGAAATGTACCGTACTCTTTCAAACAACAGAAGCACCACATATATTGTTACTAAATGTGGTTGACAAATGAAACAAGAAGAGAATCCCTGTAAGTTAGAAATGGCCAATGAAAAAACTCTACTTGAAGAAATTGGAGCATGGGAACATTTGGTTCATATACCAAGTAATAATATTCCCTTGGAGTTGTAGTCTAGCACAACCTGAAGGGGAAATGGACCTGACATAAAGGAAGCCAGCTACGGAAGTGGGCGGAACAGTAAAAAACATCACCGTCTCCGGCAGCCCCTCTCCACCGCCGCCTGTGGCGCTATCGCCATCTAAGCGTTACGTTAAAAATTGAAACAGTTTCTAGTGACCCATCTTCTCCGAGAAGAAAGCGACACAGATATGAGATATGCACCCAACCTCATTCTCTCAAATCCGCGATTTTAATCCAACATCAATCCCGCCGCTCTGATGCCTCCGTTCTGTTTGTGTGAAAAAGAAACTGGAAATAACCTCCTTAAGCCGTCAAATAGAAACGACTAACGGAAGGACCTAGGTGCAATTCATTAAAATTTGAACAAAACTAAATTCCATGTCGTATGAAGTTCGTTTAATGAATTTCCACGTGCTGTAGTATTATTAGCCCACCTATGCAATGGTACCGTACCTTCCAAATTACAAAGGTACCATAGAAGAACCCTAATAAAGTCGTGTAATTCATTTAGACAAGGGCAATGGAGTTTAAAGTCGTGTGGCAGCATTTTTTATTGTCATGGCAGGGGTTTCCAGGAACTTTTTTCTGTCTATTTCTTTTCATTCCAACTTTAATAAACCCATAATTATCTTGGTGGGATGTGTTTGCAGGTTGGGAAGAAATAAGAGCTGCAAGAAGGCCTGAATCTTCAATGTTACTCTTAGTTATAGTCACAAACTCCACTTTAGAGATAATTTCTCGAGCTTGGTCAGTTAGATCAGAATCAGAGGCATACTCTTTGGCTGCTTTGTAAGGGTCAAAGTTCAGAAGTTGATTTAGGTCTTAAAGATGTGAATCATTATGTGCTCTAATAATGGTATCAATATCAGAGATGATAAGTATGTGCTGGGATATCTGTTTTCAAAAGAAACTCCATAGCTTGATTGTCCTTATTAATCTTTTCTTCTGATTCAATGATGCTCGGGATGTCCTTTTCCGGGACAAAGATTTCATGAAATACCTCTTTCGTTTCCAATTCTGAAACATCAACAATCTGGGTGTGCTCAGCTTCAGGACGCTTGGAAATGGATGGTTTTTCTGCAATAACAATTGATTTACCTTTAGGAACTGAATAATATATATTATGTCATTATTATTAATCATTGTTTTATTCCGCTCTTGAGTCTTGAGTAGAAGCCTTAGTTTTAGGTGTCCAACTTCGTCTAGGAGAGGTGATAGCTTTGAGGTCACCTTTGGTAACCCATCAGCGATTACTTTATGTTTAGGATATTTGGAGGCCTTAGAAAATTCATGTAATGTACCTCCAAAGTGCAGCATATCTGTTGATGGTATTGGTCCACCTCACCCGGGCCACCCTTATGTCTTGGTCCACCTCATTTAATATGCTGGTCTCCGGCCTATTTAATGTTCTGGCCCAACTGGGCTGGAAACCTGACCAAGCCCATTCCCTTATCCCTTGTCTTATACCTAGCCCATGCCCGTGTGGCCCTCTCTTATATTGTCTGGTTCTTTCTCGAATCTCCTATTTGACTCCTCCCCTTCTTCCTCCTTCCGATGAGGCAATCAGTTGGTTTCTCTAGACCTAGAGTGAGAGAGTTTCTGTTCCCGGAGAATTCTAGCTCCGACTATACTCCGGTGATACGTTGGGGTTCCCTTGGGGTCTTCACTCTATTCTGGTAGTGTGGTGGGTTGGTTTTACCTCCGGTGGGTCTTTTGGGCTGGGTTCTGGGTTCTGGTTGTGAGGGCTTGTTGGCTGTCGCCCTTCGTCTTCCTTGATTGTAACTCTGGTGGTGAGTGTGACAAGCCCTTGGGCTTTGTGGTGATTGAGGTCTGATCCGGTCCGGATTTCTAACAGTGGTATCAAAGCCTGGATGCTGCTGCCTCTCGCTGACGCCGGAAGCTCACCAGACAACTCCCACACCGGAAACAACTACTGCTCCATCGAAGTTGGTAAGTCGGGTTGTCTTTGCTGGACACCCGCTCAGGTATAACACCAAAACCCTAACCTTTGGGCTGCTGGAGTGCCACCGGCTTCTGTGTTGCATGGGTAGTTCTGTAACCCTAGGTTAAGGAACTGCCGGTTAGAAACCCTAGCTTTTCCGTTTTGCATGTGCAGATCCTGTCTAGACAGATCTGCAGAAACCCTAAGTCTGTTGAAATAGTGCATGAGTGGTCCAATCTGTGTCGAACTTGGCCACTGGTTATATGTGAACTTGTTTTGCTAAAATTATTCTCTGTGTGATTACCTCTGAACCTGTCTCTGTATTGCTGTAGCTTGCCCTAATTTCTGTTGTATTATCTGTGTTATTTCTCTGCTCAGTCAGTCTATTAATTTTCTTGTGCTTGGTGTTGAGTTCTGGTAATTGTGTGGCTTCCTAACCCCTGGTTGGCTAGGGCACCTGAGGTTAGGGCTAAGTGATTCCCTGCCAGCCACTTCAGTGGCCCCGGAACTGCGTGGTCACTTAGTCCGCAGCCCAAACCACCAGGGTTAAGCCTTTATATTACCTGTATCTCTGCAGTTTTGTAGTGACTGTTATCATGGCTTCAAACCAGTATGGTATGATGCCTTTTAATGGTAAGACTGACTTTGATATTTGGAAACAGAAAATAAAATGTGTGTTAATACAACACAAAGTTCATAGAGCTGTTACTGGACAATACTTAGAAACTGAAGAAAAACCTAAACAAGTTGAAATGAATGAAACAACGTGCTCAACCATATACTTAAACTTGTCTGACTCTGTCCTTAGAAAGGTTGGAGTCATTGAGTCTGCTAAAGACCTCTGGGATAAACTTGAGTCTCTATATACTGATACTTCCCTTCCTGGCAAACTGTTTTTGTTGGAAAAGTTTTTTAGGTTCAGACTTGACCTAACAAAAGATATTGATGAAAACCTAGATGTTTTTAATAAACTAATCCAAAACATTAAGCAGGCTGGGGATAAACATATAGATGACTACACTGCCATAGTCCTATTGAATGCTATACCTGATTCCTATAATGATGTTAAGTCTGCCATTAAATATGGGAGGGATGACATAACCCTAGATATTGTTATTAATGGCCCGAGAAGTAAAGAACTTGACTTAAAACATTCTAGGAACCATCATAGGGAATCTAGGGAAGCTTTGTTTGTTAGGGGAAGGTCTAAAAGCAGGTCTAGACACCCTAAAACGGACAATCAGGATAAGAATGGTAGACAACCTAGTAAGAAGAGGTATAAGTCTAGGAAAAGAGTCTGCTATAACTGTGGTAACCCAGGACACTTCATAAAAGATTGCACCCAACCTAAGAGAAATGACCAGGCTAATGCTATGACTAGTAAACCTGTAGAGGAAGAAGTCTTTATGGTCTGTGATCAAGCCAATTCTGTGCTTAGTAGTCTGACTGAATCTAAATGGTTAATAGACTCTGGGTGTACCTACCATATGACCCCTTTTAGGAATCTGTTTTCCTCCTATAACTTATGTGAAACTGGTTTTGTTTCCTTAGCTGATAGTAAAAGGTGTAAGGTCCTTGGTATTGGTGACATCTGTCTAAAATTTGAAAATGGAATTGTTTTTCAAATTAAAAATTTCAGGCATGTACCTGATCTAAGGCATAACCTATTTTCAGTCTCTGCTTTTGAAGAATGTGGTCTTGAGGGTAAATGGGGTAATGGGTGTACGAAAATTCTGAAAAACTCCCTTGTTTTGTTTAAAGCTTTGAAACAAAATAACCTTTATGTTGTGCATGCCAAACCTTTTTCTGAAAATGCTAATGTTGTACTTAGTGACAAGTTTGTGCTTTGGCACCAAAGACTAGGTCACATGAGTAATAGAGGATTAAACATTTTGAAACAAACTGTATGTTTTGGTAATGACTTGGTGTCACCTATACCTTTTTGTGAAGGTTGTGTCTTAGGTAAACAACACAGGGTTCAGTTTCCTGTTTCTAGCTATCCTAGTGAGCCTAAGTCCAAAGCTGTCCTTGACTACATACATGCAGATGTATGGGGACCTTCCAGTGTCCCTACCCATGGGGGTAGGAGGTATTTTCTGTCCATAATTGATGACTTTTCTAGAAAAGTCTGGGTCTGTTTGCTAGAACATAAATCTGATGTGTATGTTAGGTTTAAAGAATGGAAAAATATGGTAGAAAATCAAACTGAATGTAAGGTTAAAACCCTTAGAACTGACAATGGATTAGAATTCTGCAATAAGGATATGGATAGGTTGTGTATTGAGAGTGGGATTAGGAGACACAAAACTGTGCCCTATACTCCCCAACAGAATGGCTTGGCTGAGAGAATGAATAGGACCCTCCTAGACAAGGTTAGGAGTATGCTTGCCACTTCTGGCCTCCCCAAGAAGTTTTGGGGAGAAGCTGTCAACACTGCCACCTACTTGATAAATAGATCTCCTTCTGTACCCTTAGATGGTAAATGTCTTGAGGCTGTCTTCTCTAAGAAACCCATTGACCTGTCACACCTAAAGGTGTTTGGGTGTGCTGCCTATGTACACCAACAGACTGATAAGCTAGACCCTAGATCTAAGAAATGCATTTTCTTAGGATATCCTGAAGGTGTTAAAGGGTATAGGATCTAGGATAGGAACCAGAGTGGTTTTAAGGTCATTATAAGCAGAAATGCTGTGTTCAATGAAAGTGATTTTCCCTGCTTAGTTAAAAATGTGACTGACCCTCAAACTGTGCATGATGGCACCTCTCCTAGTGAGGTGGAGCCTATCCAGACCGCTGCTGCCCCTCTGTTAAATGAGTTTATTACTCCTGACTTGACCAACACTATGCATGACACCCACTCCATCTCCAGTGAGGTGGAGCAGCCCAGTGGTTCTAATAGTAATGATGAAAATTTGCATGATGTGATTGTTCAATCTGATTGTGCTGATAATGAAGAACTTGGTGAGATCCAAGTTGAGAATGAAAGTCTAGATGATTATGTGTTAGCCAGAGATAGGACTAGAAGAAACATAAAGAAGATTTCTGATAGCATGACTGACTATGCTTTTCACCTGTATGATACTTCTTTATTTGCTTTCCCTGTTTTTGAAACTCTTGAGTTGAATGAGCCTAAAACCTACCAGGAAGCCTTTGCCTCTAGAGTCCGGATTTCTAACAGTGGTATCAAAGCCTGGATGCTGCTGCCTCTCGCTGACGCCGGAAGCTCACCAGACAACTCCCACACCGGAAACAACTACTGCTCCATCGAAGTTGGTAAGTCGGGTTGTCTTTGCTGGACACCCGCTCAGGTATAACACCAAAACCCTAACCTTTGGGCTGCTGGAGTGCCACCGGCTTCTGTGTTGCATGGGTAGTTCTGTAACCCTAGGTTAAGGAACTGCCGGTTAGAAACCCTAGCTTTTCCGTTTTGCATGTGCAGATCCTGTCTAGACAGATCTGCAGAAACCCTAAGTCTGTTGAAATAGTGCATGAGTGATCCAATCTGTGTCGAACTTGGCCACTGGTTATATGTGAACTTGTTTTGCTAAAATTATTCTCTGTGTGATTACCTCTGAACCTGTCTCTGTATTGCTGTAGCTTGCCCTAATTTCTGTTGTATTATCTGTGTTATTTCTCTGCTCAGTTAGTCTGTTAATTTTCTTGTGCTTGGTGTTGAGTTCTGGTAATTGTGTGGCTTCCTAACCCCTGGTTGGCTAGGGCACCTGAGGTTAGGGCTAAGTGATTCCCTGCCAGCCACTTCAGTGGCCCCGGAACTGCGTGGTCACTCAGTCCGCAGCCCAAACCACCAGGGTTAAGCCTTTATATTACCTGTATCTCTGCAGTTTTGTAGTGACTGTTATCATGGCTTCAAACCAGTATGGTATGATGCCTTTTAATGGTAAGACTGACTTTGATATTTGGAAACAGAAAATAAAATGTGTGTTAATACAACACAAAGTTCATAGAGCTGTTACTGGACAATACTTAGAAACTGAAGAAAAACCTAAACAAGTTGAAATGAATGAAACAACGTGCTCAACCATATACTTAAACTTGTCTGACTCTGTCCTTAGAAAGGTTGGAGTCATTGAGTCTGCTAAAGACCTCTGGGATAAACTTGAGTCTCTATATACTGATACTTCCCTTCCTGGCAAACTGTTTTTGTTGGAAAAGTTTTTTAGAAGTTAAATGGCTTTTCAAAGTTAAAGAAGAACCAAATGACATTAGGTTTAAAGCTAGGTTAGTGGCTAAAGGTTTCACTCAAAAGGAAGGGGTAGACTATGCTGAAATTTTTGCTCCCGTAGTAAAATTCACCACAATTAGGATGATGCTTGCCCTAGTTTCCCATAATGACTGGGAGATGAAGCAGATGGATGTTACCACTGCTTTCCTGCATGGTGAACTAGATAAACAGATTTTCATGACCCAACCTGAGGGTTTTGTTGACCCTAAGTACCCTAGACATGTCTGCCTACTTAGGAAGGCCCTCTATGGTCTGAAACAGTCTCCCAGACAATGGAATATCAAGTTTGATCAATGTATGTCTTCCCTGAGCTTCAAAAGGTCTGATTCTGACCCTTGTTTGTATTTTAAGAATACTGCCTCTGTACCTGTTTTCCTGTTGATCTATGTTGATGACATGCTTATCATTAGCCCCTCTGTGAATGCTATTAAGATTGTTCAAAAGTGCCTTTGTGAAAACTTTGCTATGAAAGACCTTGGAGATGCTAAGAGAATCCTAGGTATTAATATACTTAGGGATAGGAGTAGGTTTACCCTTACCCTGAACCAAACCTCCTATCTAGAAAAGGTCTTGAAAAAGTTCAAAATTGACTCTGCCCAACCTGTGAATGTTCCCTTAGCACCCCATTTTGTTCTAAGCAAGGATCAGTCCCCAAGGACTGCTCCTGAGATAGATAGGAAGAAGGTTGTACCCTATTCCAGTGCTATAGGGTCAGTCATGTATCTCATGGTAAGCACTAGGCCTGATATAGCTTATGTTGTTAGCTGCTTAAGTAGATATATGGCAAACCCTGGTATGTCTCACTGGACTGCCCTTAAATGGCTCCTTAGATACCTTAGGGGTACATCTTCTCATGGTCTTGTGTTTTCTAAAACTGAAACTGACATTTTACTTACTGGCTATGTTGACTCCAATTATGCAAATGATAGGGACAATAGAAAGTCTACTACTTCCTACATTTTTACTCTTTGTGGTTCCTGCATAAGTTGGAAATCTCAACTACAACCTATTGTTGCACTGTCCACTACTGAATCTGAATACGTGGCAGCCACTGAGGCCTTTAAAGAGGCTATTTGGCTTAAACGAATGCTAACTGAAATTGGTTTTCTTAAGCAGGTTGTGACAGTCTACTCTGATAGCCGGTCTGCTATCCAATTGTGCAAAAGTCTTGTATTCCATGACATGACAAAGCACATTGATGTCAGGTTTCATTTTATAAGAAATATTTTGGATGCAGGTTGGATAAAGCTGTCCAAGATACCTTCTGAATTTAATCCTGCTGATATGGGGACTAAATGTCTCACTTTTGAAAAACTGTTGTCTTGTAAACGTATTCTTAATTTAGATTGTGGCTAGATAAGAACTGTAAAACACGAAAAACCGGCGATGATGATTCTTCCTTTCACGTTGTGCTCTACACCACCAGGGGGACCAATAAGGTGGAGATTGTTGATGGTATTGGTCCACCTCACCCGGGCCACCTCTATGTCTTGGTCCACCTCATTTAATTTGCTGGTCTCCTATTTAATGTTTTGGCCCAACTGGGCTGGAAACCTGACCAAGCCCATTCCCTTATCCCTTGTCTTATACCCAGCCCATGCCCGTGTGGCCCTCTCTTATATTGTCTGGTTCTTTCTCGAATCTCCTATTTGACTCCTCCCCTTCCTCCTCCTTCCGATGAGGCAATCGGTTGGTTTCCCTAGACCTAGAGTGAGAGAGTTTCTGTTCCCGGAGAATTCTAGCTCCGACTATACTCCGGTGATACGTTGGGGTTCCCTTGGGGGGTCTTCACTCTAGTCTGGTAATGTGGTGGGTTGGTTTTACCTCCGGTGGGTCTTTTGGGCTGGGTTCTGGGTTCTGGTTGTGAGGGCTTGTTGGTTGTCGCCCTTCGTCTTCCCTGATTGTAACTCTGGTGGTGAGTGTGAGCAAGCCCTTGGGCTTTGTGGTGATTGAGGTCTGAGCCTGTCCGGATTTCTAACAATATCTAAACTAGAAAGTACGGATTTTCCAGCTGAACAGTGATAATCCCTGAGCTTAGATATCCACGTTGTGGGGTTAATGACCCAATGAGGATTGACCCATAAACCCTTAAAGATGTGAATCATTATGTGCTCTAATAATGGTATCAATATCAGAGATGATAAGTACGTGCCAGGATATATGTTTTCAAAAGAAACTCCATAGCTTGATGACGTGCACTTTGTCACGGTGTGTTAAAATAAATCGATACTAACACTTATACGTAGTATAGGTGAAGTAGAGTTCGTATCCACAGGGAAAGGAATAATTATCTTTTTGATGAAAGAAGTAAATAAAGGGGGGATTTGGATTGAGTGATTTAATTTAATTAAACACGAAGATGAACGACTTATATGAGATTTAATTCAAGAATAAAAGGGACTTGGTCTTGCTACTTTCCACTTGTTGATATATTTTAGTCGATCATTGTTATATCTATAACTTATCCCCTCTCGAATACTCAATCGAGGAATATATCCAATTCATCGAGGGTAGTTATTAACAACGAGTGTTCATTAATAACCCTTACTATTAGTCAAGTATAGAACACCGCCATATACCGACTTGATAGTAGCATTTAATCTCTTAACTCCTTGATGAAATCAATTGAGATTGATAACCTCAACACAACGGTTTCGGTTTAACCAACAAAATTTATCCCTCCTAAGTTTATTAACCACGACTGTGCATTAATAAACCGAAGTTACTTACTTGTAAAATCATCAACGATTAACCATTGGTTCGTTGATCGTTTCTAGTAACGATTAATGTTGGAGCGTTAACTAATCGTCACTTAGAAACCCTCTAACATTAACATAGATTGAGATTAAGGGAAGAATTAATAATCAAGAGAAGAAGTTAAGAAAATAACTCACAATTTTAATAATCAACAAGCTTCAAGAGCAAAACCAAGAAATGGAAGTTTAGCTCCTCATTTAGAGACTAAACATAGCTAGAAAAATACAAAGAAATGCTATTCTAAACTGAGCTTAAAAGTATGGAAGAAGGGATGATGATAAGTGCAGGAAAATGGGGTTATTTATAGGTGTTTTCAAGACCTATAGCCGGATACCCGGCCGGGTATTTGACATACCCGACCAGGTATTTATCAAATCAGATCTTTTTGCCATGTTCTTGTGTTCTTCTGCACGTTTGTTTGCCCGAAATCACTTCATACCTGACCAGGTATAGGGAATACCCGACCTGGTATTTGCTATTTTCGTAGCAACTTCCTCTGTCAGTTCATACCCGGCCGGGTAAAGGTCATACCTGACCGGGTTTTGCATAAAACTCGGGTTTTGCATAAAACTTATAGCCCAACTAACTACAACTAACAACAAACAATAAAATGCTAAAAAATACGATTACAATCAAATGCAAACTAACAACTACAAACTTGCATAATACTAGTAAATAAACATTACAAACAATGATAAAAATGAATACTTAGGCACTAACGAGTAGTGCCTATCAAACACCCCCTCATTTGAACTTTTACTCGTCCCGAGTAAATCAAAACCTTGTCCATGAAGTTTCCAAACCAAACATAGTACTAATTACAATCATCTAAGTGTTTTTTTTCGATTATCAACATAGAAATGTTGTAATGATAACAACATATGAATGAAAGGTCTTCAATATCATTGGACTTCTCTTCTTTTCCTCCGCTTGTATATACACTTAGAATCTTGCAAAGATAAAAGAAATGCTTTCTCTCATTCTCTCAGTTTGCCTAGGCGCCCTTTCGGGGTTTCATCCCAACTTCCCATATTTTTTATTTTTTTATCCTCACAAACTCACTCTTGTTTTTGCTTTTATTTTCTTTAAGTTGTCCTTTTTGGGTTTTCAACCTAACAAGCCTTTTTATTATTATTATTATTATTATTATTATTATTATTATTAATTCTTTTATTTTTCTTTAAAATAGATAAAGAGTGTGAAATGTGAGCATACCAGAATGGTCGCCCCCCCAGCTAGTCCATGACACTAGTCCTAGTGCCCGCCCGCATCTCCTCCAACAAAGAATCCACCATGGTCATAGTAGCTGTCATGAAAACCGCCTGTATATGGGTACTCATCTGCGTTAATGTCTGAGCTGCCACCATTTCCGCCATCTCCACCTCTGAAATCCCTGCCAGCGCCATCACCGCCCGCCTGTCCACCTCCTCCGGAGCTAGATCCTCCGAAATTACCCCAATGTGAGGGGTCATACCATGTAGGATGTTGGACTGGAGTGAGCATGTGGGAAAAATACCCTTGGTGATCAAAAAATGCGTACATAAGGCCAAATGCGCGTTTTTGATCTTCTTCCACCCTTTGGTATGCACTGTAGAGATCGTCGATGCGTGTGTTCATAGCCGTTTGGTTAAGATTGAGTTGTTGTATACCGCCAAGCATTTGTTGTTCAAAAAGGGTGTATTGAGGGGGTTGGGGATCGGGTTGTGGTTGTTTTTGTGGTTGTTCGTGACTGTGTGGAGGCTCAAGTTGAGGGATTTCATAAAGATAGTGGTCAGGAGTAGTTCCGGGTAAGCAAAGGTGTCTCCTATCCCCGAGTTTATGCTTAAAAATGTTGGGGAGTTCATCGGAGGGGATTGTAAAAACTTGTGTGGGTGGGGGGTTTATGGTCCAATGGTAAAATGCAGTGTTCCCAATAGTGTGGGAGTGACTCAAATCATGTGCACTGAGTAGAAACTTGAGATTAAGGAAATGCCACTCTTCTACTTCTCTGTTAGCACGATAGCCAAAATTTGTACAGATATGGTGTATGTACCCCCCTATGAAAATGTAAAACCCCGGGGCCCCACACGGACCTGAGGTAGTTACTCTAGACCTCTAGTACTGTCCCCACAAACCACCACGAGCCTTTACCGCGCACTTTGTCCTCACTCATGCGCGCCCTGAGAAACTTCCCAGGGGGTCACCCATCCCAAGACTACTCCCGTGCAAGCACGCTTAACTTTGGAGTTCTTGGGTGATGAGCTCCCTTAAAAGGAGATGCACCTCTGTTGGTATGAGTAGTACTATTAATCCTCTTAAATTAATCTCGGGTATTACAATCACCCCCACTTAGGATCGCAATGTCCTCGTTGCGCCCTTAAACCAATCTCAATAAAACCCCAGAATCTTGCCCCGCTAAGTGCCTGCCCGATATCTAACGGGTCAGCACACTGTCGCAGGGTTGCTCTGATACCACCTGTAACACCCCGGGGCCCCACACGGACCTGAGGTAGTTACTCTAGACCTCTAGTACTGTCCCCACAAACCACCACGAGCCTTTACCGCGCACTTTGTCCTCACTCATGCGCGCCCTGAGAAACTTCCCAGGGGGTCACCCATCCCAAGACTACTCCCGTGCAAGCACGCTTAACTTTGGAGTTCTTGGGTGATGAGCTCCCTTAAAAGGAGATGCACCTCTGTTGGTATGAGTAGTACTATTAATCCTCTTAAATTAATCTCGGGTATTACAGAAAATGTCACCCATAGCTTCACATTCCTCCTTTAGATGTACCCATAAACATGAAGCAACATCTAATCTAGGAGCGTCTGGAAAGATACCCATAGCAAGAACGGCCAATTCACCAATCCTTGTTTGATGATTATTTGGTCTCCCAAAAACATTATACCCAAACCATTTCAGTGTTATTCGAAGGGCAGGGTGTTGAACATGTGTAACATGCATATGTGAAGATTTAAAAACCCTAACCCCTGTCATTCTTCGCCACAGAACATGCACACTAGTTTTATCAGTTCTTGTCTCTCTGTCCTCCATACCTAAACCGGTAGACCAAAGAGTTTGGCAAACTCACGTTTCGTTAAAGTTCTTGATATGTTATTATACCGAAATGTGAGTTGGCTCTCATAGGTGTCCTCTTTGTTTTCAGTAAATTCAACGGAGGCCAGGAACTCGTACACAATTCTTTTGTAGATATTATAAGACATATTGAACAATGTAGTAAGCCCTATGTTGTTGCACAATCCTGGCATCCTATCATACAACATCAAAGCTCTCAATGTGTCATGACAAAGTAATTGGGTTGAGTATACCTCTCGGTTGAGTTGGGTGAGAAATTTCTTGTGATGAGCCCTAGAGGTGAATTCAATGCTTTCATACTCGGGAACTTGTGGGATTGGATCATTGGAGTTTGATGAAGATGCTCTATCCCTCTTTGGTGCCATGGTTGACCTTTTTCTTGGACTTGGGGGTTGGAATTTCGGACTTGGGGGTTGGAGGAGTGAAGAAATTCGGACTATTTGTGCTTGGGGTGTTTTTGAGGGTGTGGAGATGTAGGGGATGATGGGGAGAGCAAGAAATGGGATATTTCTTGGGTTAATTCGAGCAAAATTTTGAAATTTTGGGGTAGGGGGTAGGGTTTTCGGATTTGGGGTAGAGGGGGATTTGGTGGTTTTGTTGGGTGTAGAAATGGAGAGGGTGGTGTGGAGAAGAAGATTATGGAGTTTATTTGGAATTTTGGTGGAGGATTGGGAGGATTTTGAAGCTTGAAGTGTTCAACAATAGAGGTTTGGGGAGGGGTTCTCGAGCTTGGGGAAGAAGAATGGCGATTTGGGCGAATTTCGGGCTTAAGTTTTGGGAAAATTTCCCGTAAACCTGGCCGGGTTTCTTAAATACCCGAATGGGTATTGTTATTTCCGCTAGGCAGAATGTGTTTCAGCTTAAAACCCAGTCGGGTTTTTCATAATACCCGAATGGGTATTCAATTTTTGCTTGGCAGTGGCGTTTTTGGCCAAATACCTGTTCGGGTTTTTCGTGATACCCGGTCGGGTATGTGGCTATTTTACTTTTTCTTTTGCTTGCCATGCTCGGCCGGTGTTTCGGTCGATACCCGAATAGGTAAGCCCAACAGTAGCTCCCAAGGGTGGAAATTAGTAAAAACTCGGTCGCGTTTTGTGCATACCCGGCCGGGTTTTAGCTTATTTTAATTTTTTTAGTTTTCCACCCGGTCCGGGTATTCAGACCTGACCGGGTTTCGGTCATGCTCGGTCGGGTTTTCTCCCAATTTTTTTTTTGAAAACGTTTTAAAACACACACACTCAAACGACTGAATAAGAAAACATATCTTGCATGGGTTGCCTCCCATGAAGCGCTTTGTTTAACATCGTGGCTC